CCGGCAGAAGAAAAAAAGCTTTTATTTCCCTGTTAAGATGAAAGGTGTTCTGTTGTGCTTCTTCCTTGTATTGTGATTTCTCCTTGCTCAATGGCCACTTGTCCATGGCTAATAATTAACTCACTGAGCATGAAAAATTCTCTTTCAAACACATCCCAGAAGTAGCCAGCAAGGCAAACATGACAAATTCTGCAGAAAGCAAACACTGTGGCACAAAGAGAGCCTTGACGTTTGCCCCTGGCTGACAGCAGCTCCTCTGCCTCACTGCCCTCCAGCCTGTGGTGCAAGCAGGACCCAGTTCAGCCTTGCCCATTTTGGCAAAGCTGAAATAATCTGTTATTCTAATTTCTTCAAAAATTCCAGCTCGTTTTGGGGTTGTTCTGTCAGCTCTGGAAGGGTTACCAAGATCTCTGCCTACCCAAACCTGTGGTTCCTGTGCTCTTGCACCACCAACACCTACAGCTCTGAGTTGGTTTAAAGTGTAAATGGAACAATTGCAACATAATGACCTTTTCTCTTGCTTTCCAGCTCAGGACAGATAATTTTATTGTTGTTGTTGTCTTCATGTGGTCCTGGGAATGAATAACAATCTCAGTTTTGATTTGGTGCTGGGCTCTAAACCTCGTTGCAGCTCCACTGGGTGACAAGGACATTTTAGTGATGTGTTTTTAGTGTCTTTACCCTTAACACTGGCTGATGGTCATTTCCTGGACATTTCTCTGGACCTGGGTTGGGACCATCACCTTCCTCTCCAGTGCTATTTTATGCCTAAATTATGGTATTTTCCAGGTTTCTAGCAGCAGTGCTCTCTGGCCAGGCTGGCTCTTCCAAATCTCATCCATTACAAGACTTTCCCCAGGTTTCTGTTGTGCTTTTGGGATTCTGTCAGTCCTAGGGAGAATTATCTTCAGATTTATAATTTGGAAGAGACCAGGACCTGACCCCCCCAAGTTGTGCAGACCTGAGCCAGGAGCTGCTCTGTCTGGGTACAGAATATCAGACTTCAATTCCCAAATTCTGCTGAATTCCTGCTGCAGGGATTGCCAGGGATCAGCCCAGTCCAGCACATTAGATATTAACTATTGCTCCTGACAATGAACAGTGTCAAGGCCATGGGATTGACAAAGCATGAAGGTTTAATTGTGATATTTGTCATTCCAGCCTGGGAGCCATTCTGGATTTTTGTGGAATGTTTGCTGCTATTCAAATAGTTGAGAAATAACAATATAGAAGTAATATATTGCATATATTCTATATATTTTATATACAGGTAATATTTCCCCCCTCAAATCCTTTTGATCCATGGGGAAGCTGTGCAGATGCAAATTGTTGTAGAGAGAGTTGTGCTGTGAGGAAGTGCTGGAGGCTTCTGTGCCCAGAAAAAGGGCACAGCAACAAATTTCATCCTGCACAGGACTGGATTACTCACATCTTCAAATGCCCATCAAGGTCACGGCTGACCTTGCCTTGCCATGGGTTTTATTTTCTGCAGTGGAATGGGGAAAAACCACCATTCCACCCCATTTTCATGGGGGTAAGAATGAGCAATTAACTTGCAGATAAAAGATTGAGCTGAAACACGTGCAGAAAATAAACATTCCCATGTCTAAGCAGATGCCTCCTTTACAATTCTGAGAAAATAAATAGGAGGGGCTTGTTTGGTTATGCAGTGAGCAGAAACACTTCAATAGAACTTGCTGAAGAGTATCAGGATTTACCAAGAAATCAGCAGTTTTCAGAAATGCCTGCAGTGCTTGGGACTCTCTGAACTAAGAATGTTTGTGTCAGTTAAACATATGAGCAACATATTTCAGAAAAGAAATTAAATAGAATAAACAGGCAGCTCTCAAGGCAGTAACTGAAATCCCAGCTGAGATTGTGCTGCTGGCCCAATTTTACATTCCTTTCAGCTATTGGATCCACTCTACACTAGCCTGAGACCTGATTTTATGTTCCTTTCAGATCCTCCATGCACCCACTTGTTGTTTTTCAGATCAGACCTTCATGGTTCATTCATTTCTTGGGCTGGAGAGTGAAACCAACTTCAGCACCATGAAATTATTTTAGTTTAATTCTCCTCTGCCTGCAAGGAGCAGGAGCATCCCATGGCCCAAGAGGCTGGAGGGATGGATGATGCCAGTGTGGATTCATTAACAATTGCAATTAGGTGATGATTATTTGTATTTGAGGAATGTATTAAATCTATAGGAATGTTCCCTTTGCAGAGTGGGAATTCAGGGGTGTAGGACCCTTCACTGGTCTGAGTGGGACAGGGGCTCCTCTGATTTCACTTTTAGGAGACCACGTCCAGTCCATTTATTTAAGCTTCAGGTTCTATTTATCTTCCTGTAACTGTACAAACTTCTCAGGGAGCTTCTAAAGCAGCTCCTTTAGGACACAACTGCAGCAATTCTCTTCTAAAATTTCAAAATCTGATGGTTGGGGTTCAAAAGGCAGTAATGACCTCAGGCTGAGTCACAAAATTTAGATTACTATGGTAATATTTACTAACTTTTATTTCCCATGTTAAAACTTAAAGCACATATTGTAATGATAATTAATCTGTCGGTTGTTTTTTTTTTTCAAAAACTAAATATTAAAAACCTGCTGCACAGAAGAAACCGTAACTGCCATAAGGCTGTTCCTGTGGTTCCTTCAGAAGAAATCAGCCTCCCACCAGTGAGCTCTGAACATGAAATGGTTCCAAACCTTCCCTCCCATGTGAGGAGGGATCCTCAAAATTGGCTCAAGACTCATTTTCTTCTCCTTCCCCATCCCACCACGGCCCTACGAAATCTCAAATCTTTTTTTTTTTACAAAAGCTTAAATCTTTGTGCGTTCCCAAAGATGCCAAAGCCGCGTTACTTACACCCCAGGCACTTCTGGCTTTCCCTCTCGGGCGGGTGCTGGGACATGCTGTGAGTGTCCTGTGTCCCCACGGGGCTGTGGCAGTGCCAGCCTGCTTTAAATACTCCCTGCACCTTCAGCCCTGTATTTCCACCTGTTGTGCCTTAAAGGAACAACATCCAGCAGCGCTGCCAGGTGAGCTCTGCCCACGGCAAAGCCCAGCCAGTGCCCAGCCCAGCTCTGCTGTCCCTCCAGGGTGTCCCCTCGGATCACTCCTCACCACAGCCACCCCAGCCTGAGGGGCTCCCAGGAAAACTCCAGGGCTCCTCTGCCTCTTTTGGGAAGGAGCTTGGTGGCTCTCTGTGGTCAAATCCATGGAGAGTCTTTTGGGTACCTCTGTGCCAGCTTTTTGTTTGGGCAGGACCTGAGCAGCCAGGGCAGCTGTGATTCCTTGCTTTGCCTCCTTTTAATGATGCAAAAGCAGGAATTCCTTCTAACTGGGGGGGTCACACGGAGCTTTCCTCGCCCACTCTGTGAAAACTGATGTGTTTGAAGGGGATGGCACCTCCTGCAGTGCCTGGGAGCAGCAAGATCCTGACCCAGAACTGGGATCTTCAACAGATTTGTCACATCCTAAAGCCAGCCTTGGAAATGCCTTTTGTTTAGCTGAGGGTGCTGAGCTCCATTTTTTCCATGAATGTGCAGCTTTTGGGGTGAGGAAGGAGCTTTTGGGGTGAGAAAGGGTCTCTTGGGGTGAGGAAGGAGCTTTTGGGGTGAGAAAGGGTCTCTTGGGGTGAGGAAGGAGCTTTTGGGGTGAGAAAGGGTCTCTTGGGGTGAGGAAGGAGCTTTTGGGGTGAGAAAGGGTCTCTTGGGGTGAGGAAGGAGCTTTTGGGGTGAGAAAGGGTCTCTTGGGGTGAGGAAGGAGCTTTTGGGGTGAGAAAGGGTCTCTTGGGGTGAGGAAGGAGCTTTTGGGGTGAGAAAGGGTCTCTTGGGGTGAGGAAGGAGCTTTTGGGGTGAGAAAGGGTCTCTTGGGGTGAGGAAGGAGCTTTTGGGGTGAGAAAGGGTCTCTTGGGGTGAGGAAGGAGCTCTTGGGGTGAGGCAGGAGCTTTTGGCTGTCGCTGTGCTTGGTGGGGATCTTGGACTGAGCCACCAGCACCTCTCCTCGATGGGAACAAACCCCAATCCCTTGCACGCTTCCCACCATTCCAAACATTCCCCAGGTAATGCTGGCATTACTTTTTTGCCTCATGGCCACCGAGCTGTGCTGGCTGGACCACAGTGGACACAGCTGTGTTTGCTGTCCTGGAGCTCCCACTCTCCCAGGCACGGATCCCTCGGGACCCCTTCCCTGCTGGGTCCTGCAGAGGGATGGAAATGTGGTTTTAAGACCTTGCAGAGGAAGATGGGATGGCTGTGGGCAGAGGAAAGCCTGGCAAAAATATGGGAACCTGTAACTCCTGGTGCATCTCAAGGAGGAAAAATGAACCCAAGGCTAATAAATAGTTTTTTTTTTAACCAAACCCCCCCTTTCCACCCTCCAGTAAATCCAATCCATGGCCTCATGTAAGTAGATTTGAAATGTATTTCCTTGCTTTAGCACATGAGGAAGCATTTCCCTGCCAAGTCACATGTTCCAAAGCATTTTGGCATCTCCAGAAAGCAAACAACCTTCGGACTGCTTTTATCTGGGGAGTGCAGATTGCAGCACGAGCCACGATCCGAGCGTGAAACCAGCGCTGCTGCTCGGGGCTGGGCTGTGTTTGAATTTGAGCTGCTTCTGAAGCTCTGGATATCCCTGCAGGAGAGGTGAAGGAAAAATAGCACTTTGGGAACGTGGGTGGCTGAGAAACTGAAATCAGACGTGGTTTATGTGTTGTAAAATGACTCCATGGATCAGGATTTTAAAAAAAAACCAAGAAACAGTAAAATCCTTATTATTTTTAGTAACCTGGCCCCTTCCAACCCAAACCATTCTGTGATTTTCTGATATTTTGCCTCTCACTGAGCAAGCCTGAAGCCACAAAGGTCTTTCCCTCCCCACCCCTCCCCAGTTTTACCTTTCCCTCAGGGAAACAACCCACAAATAGCTGGGTTCAGGTGCGTTATTTTATTCTCTCTTCTGCAAAACGCGGAGCAGTTTGGGCAGTGTGGGGGTTCAGCTCTCACTAAAGGGGATTTGGGTTCTGGGGAAAGCACTGGAAGGTGTTGGGGGCTTGTCTTTCCACAGAGAAAATCCCCAGCTCAGGTACCCAGAGGCTTTCACAGCAGATTCTGGCTCAAGTCTTCATCAGACACCTGGAAAAGTAATTTTTCTCCGTAGAGTGACTGTAAAAGAGTGAAACAGAAGAGAAGCTGTGATCTGGCATTGCCTCTCTGTGGTATTTGTAGAAGTCATTTCATAGGTATTTCTGGGTTTATGTCAGTATTGGTATTTTAAATGATATTTTAAGGAGCTCTGGGAACAGAAAGGTGGAGAAACCCAGGTCAGAAGGGACTTCTGGAGCCAACCTCCTGCTCAGTTAAGAGAATTATCCCAGATTTTACCCCAGCCCAGACATCTGGGAAGAAAAGGCACAAATAATTGCTGGGTTTCATTCTCCCTTTTAGGAGTTTTTCACAGAATGTTGGTTTATTTTCAAGGTTTTAGGGGAGGTGTAATTTTTCTTTCTATTCTTTACATTTAGGACCAGAAGACCGCTGTTGGCTCTGAGTGCATTGGAGTGAGAACATGAGATCACCAAATTTCTGAGCCACTATTCCACTAATTTTTTATTCAGTGGAGTCCTTCTCACTGATAGAAATTCTCACAGATCAAATACACTTTAAATGATGATTTTTAAAGGAGCTTTTCTCTAAAAAAGCACCAACAGTCTGAGACTCTTACATAGAAGCTGGTCATCCTGATATTTCCAAGGATAGCAGAGATTGTCCTGCACAATAGAACACAGAAGAATGGCATGGTTGTAACACAGTGAACAATAATTACTTCTGTGTAATTCTGATAAGGATTTACTGAAAGAGGCAGGAAGGGCAATAACAGCTTTACTACTTGCAATCGAAAATTATAATCGACCCTACAATAAATATATTAATTTTATGTAGGATTTAATCCAAGTCTTGTGAAATCCATGGTTTAACGTTCCTTGGTAAGGAATAAAGGCAAGAGTTTGGCAGCAGAATGTGATTCTTGGACTGTGGATTGTAAGTCCTGGACTGCACACCTGGTGCCTCTCCCGTGGAGGTGTTTTCCTTACCAAGCCACAGACTCCCTGCTCAAAATTTGGTTTATTCTCTTTTATCAAGGGAGATGATACTTGCAGTGCCAGTTGCAGCAAACACCCACCTACATTTGCCAGAGCCCATCCTGAATTCCTGCTCTTCTCCTGGACTTGGGCTCTCCTCCATCCCTTCCTCCCTTCCAGGGCTCAGCCCAGCCAAAGCTGGCTCCAGGCTCCCCGTGGTGCTTCTTTCCTCTCCTTTAAGACAAAACACACGGATGCACTGCAGGGAACACCCCCACTAGCACCTCTCTAAGTATTCCAGTGTGTCAGACACCAAATGGGGCCATTATTTCACAGTTTCCTTCCTGTGAATAAGGAATGTCCCCTCACCGCTGTCATGGCTGAAGGTTTTCTGTCCCTAAGTTTATTTCTATGGACATAACATGGTCTGGATTAAGACAGATGCACGTGTCTTTGAAAATCAGTTATTACAAGGGATTTTTTTGGGCCTGTCTTTGTCAGCTTTGCATGGAATGAGCTGGATTTGGCCGCAGAAGCTGCCCAGAGTGAAGCCACTCACACCTCACAGGTCCCTCCCTCCAGGATTTTCTATCGCCCACAGAGCCACAAACCCTCCACACACAAAATCCCAGCCTTGCTTTCAGCAGGGCTTCAGCATTTCCTTCATTTTGCTTTGCATTTGAGCAGGTTGAAAACTAAACCAAACAACCCCTCAAGGACTTTGGTTGCAGGTCTGGGGCTGCGGAACAGACACGTGTCTGGGAGATGGAAACATTCCACGGGTCAGACTCCAGCCCTTGGAAATTTAAACCAAAACAACCACTGCCACCCCAAAAAGTGATTCCTGGCCAATTTACCTGTCTGCTTTTGAAGCTTGATTTTGGCCAGGGTGAGGATGGTGATGGTGATGCAAATCAGCAAAAGCAGAGCTGGTAACACAGCTGGGAGCAACCGTGGTTCACCCGAGGAGCTGGGAAGATGAACCACCAGGGTTTAATTAGGTTTGGAGTCACCTTCGTGGTTCATGAAGGTGGTTGTTTTCACACTAAAGAGTACCAAGGAGTTGTAAGCTCTGACTGAATCAAAGTCAACGGAGTCAAGGAGAGTTGCAATCATTTGATCTGGAGTTTGGCTTATGAGGAAGTGATTTCTACGGCTGCTGTGTGGGGTTTGTGCTGCCAGCTGAATTAGTCCCTCCAAAGGGAAAATGAGCTGTTTGCACAACACAAATGCACAAGAAACACATCTTTTGGTGAGTTGTTACAAGCCTCACATTTTTGGAAGGTGCCTTCCCTCCTTCTGTCAGGATGACAGGGAGATGTGGCTTGGGGGAAGCTGGGGTGGGGAGGATGGGGGTGGATGCGGATCCGAGGTGCCCATCTCGGGATTGAACTGGGTTTGTGGACTTTGCCCGGCTGGGCTCTGGCTGACCCTGCAATTCCTGGTGCATCTGCACCACATCCCCTCAGCAGGGCTGGCTGGTGGCCACAGCTGGTGGAGAAGCTGGAGCTGCTCACAGGGAGCACAGGAGGCGAATCCACTGGGAAGCCGCTTGCACTGGGGTGAGACACAGGAACTGGTGTGGAGAACGACCAGGGAACAATTCCTGGCCAAAACACTGCCAGGCTTTGGCTGAACCTCACCCAAAGCTCACTCCTGGTTAAACAGCGAGCTCCCACACTGCCCGTGGGCTCCTGGCTGCTGCAGGGCTCGGGGAAGGGGTGTCCTGAGCTGTGCAGCAGCCACACGTTCACCAGGGCTGTTGCTCAAGTCAACCTCAGCAACATTCCCAAGGTCCTGTCCCCATCCTGAGCCCAGGGAAACAGGCAGGAGCACGGCTGTTGACTCTGGCATCTGCTCCACAGGAGCAGCCAGCACCGGGAGGGTCAGAGACAAGTTCAAAGTGTGCAGGGACACGAGGCGAGCTCGCCACCTTCTCTCCCTTTTCGTGTCTCCTGGAGGTGTTTTCAGCCGTGCACAACTTCCACAGGGCCCTGGGGAATGGGGCAGACGGGGTGAGAAGCACCAAGGGTGTGGCTGTGAACTCACCTCTCCTGAAAGGCTTCACCTGGGGAGGTTGCAGAGGTGCCAGGGGTGGCAGAGGGTAGCAGGGAGCTGCTGCCGTGGGTGACACTGGCCATGGTGGTGTCCTTGGGGACAGTGCCCATGGTGTCCTTGGTGACACTGGCCATGGTGGTGTCCTTGGGGACAGTGCCCATGGTGTCCTTGGTGACACTGCCCATGGTGGTGTCCTTGGGGACACTGGCCATGGTGGTGTCCTTGGGGACAGTGCCCATCAGGTCTGCCATGCTCCCGTGCCTGGCCATGCTGGGGGTAGCAGGACTTGGTGCCGTGGCTGTTCCTGGGTCCCATGAGGAGCAGGTTCCTACAGAGAATTTTGTTTAATAAAAATTTATTTTGAGGCTTTAATCCCCACTCTTTGGCAGAGGCAATGCGTTTGTTGGATTTACCAAAGATTTACACATCTCACCTTGCGTCTCACGTGAAAAACCACCAGACTGGGGCATTTCTGCTCTCCTGGGAGTGCTATAGAAAGCACCAATGAAATCCTGAATACCTGGCAAACATCCTACTTTAACCCCACTCTTTCTGCCTTTGCCAGAGGAGCAGTTCCGTGGATCTGGCTATTTACACTCTGCAGTTTCTCAAGATAACCTTCAGCTTATCCTCAGAGCCAAACACCTCCCTGTGCTGCACTTGCCAGGACCAGGATGTCAGCTCCTGGGGGTTTGCATCGTAATGAATCAATAATAGAACCCAAACCTATCCAATTCCTTCAGAAAGCTCAGCTCTCTCACCCCTGAAAACCTCCCCCATCGCCTCGGCTGCTCGCTCACAATTAAAGGAGATTTCATTTCCTTTGATGCCGTTTCTCACCGTGTGGAATGGTTTGGGGACCATCCAGGCCGTGCCACCACCTACCCTTGTGGATGAGCAGCTTCAGGGAGGCCGTGAGCTCCGTGTGCCCACTCCTGGCCCCACACCAGTACCAGCCTTCATCCTCCTCCCTCAGCTGCCTCAGCAGCACCGTGTAGCTCCCGCGCTCGGGGTGGCTGCTGGACATCAGTATCCGCCCTCGGTAGGACTCCAGCACAAACCCCTTGTCATCCAGCAGCACTGGGCAGCTCCCTCCCTGCCACCTGCACAGGTACTTCTTCTCGTAGGTGCCCTTGGGGTCGTGGTGGCAGTGGAAGGACAGCGAGCCCCCGACGGTGCCGCTGAGGAATTTGGGTCTCCTGGGAAGGGCGGAGGCTGCAGGGGAGGACACAGAATTAGCGTTTCACGCCCCTCAGCCAGCGCTGAGCTCCCCGTGCCCTGTCCTACCTGTGGCCACCAGCAGAACCACCTCCTGCAGGCTGTCCTGACCCCTCGGGCCTTGTGTCCCACACAGATACAGCCCCGAATCTTCCTTCTTTAAGTTGTTTATCAGGACTTTGGAAGCTCCAGAGCTGTCCTGAGGGGTGATAACGATCCGTCCTTGGTACCTCCTGCCCACGTAGCCGTCAGAGCTGGCGATGAGAGTGCAGCTCCTTCTGCCCACTTTGCACCAGAACCTCTTGTGGTCACTCTGGGTGTCCCCAGAGGGGCACAGGACTGTGACAGAGCCATGGAGATCCCCTCGGACGAGCTGGGTTGGCCTGGACACGGCAGCATCTGCAGGGAGACAGCAGGACAGGGGCTGTCAGCACACAGCCCCCAAAAACCTGCCCCATCCTTTGGTCTCCACAGCTCAGGCCATGCCCCTGAGCTCTGCCCTAGGATAATAAATAGATAAATATTCATCTTTTTTAGATTATAATACCTCAAAAATATCCACACACACACAGTTCACACCCTGAAACTCCAGCAGTTATTTCCTTTATTTCTCCAAAACCCCTTCACTCAGACATTTCCCCTGTGCCCTTCCCTGGAATCTCCAAACCTCTGTTTCCAACAGGCAGGAAAGGGTTTCCTTTCACATTTCTGAACAGCTGATTTGGCCAAACCTGGCTGCTTTTATCCCCCAAAATTATAAATATCATATATCAATATCTAACATAGATATGATAGATTTATATATAATATAGTACATTGATATATAATATATAATATATAATATATAATATATAATATATAATATATAATATATAATATAATATATATTTTCTATAAATATGTATTTTATAATAGAATATATTAATATAACACATTAATATTATGTATTACATATATAAAATATATTTATATATAATATATTTACATATGATATATTTACATATAATACAAATACAATTCAATATTATAATATATATTATAATATATATTATATTATAATTATATATATTACAATATATATTATAATTATAAATATACAATTATTATAATATAAATATAATGATGTATTAATACAACAGATGAATATAAGTAATAATTAATAACCATATTATATTAATTATATATTATACAATTATATATATGATATAATGAAATTAATTATATATATAATATAATTATAATATAATTATATAATATATAATTAATACTATATTATATATAATATAATTATATATAATATTCATTATATTAATATAATTAATTAATATATAATTATATAATAGAATTAATTCTATAAAATTATAATAAATAATTATTAATTATAATATATAATTATAAATATTATAATATAATATAATATAATATAATATAACATAATATAACATAATATAACATAATATAACATAATATAACGTAATGTAATGTAAAATAATATAATATAATATAATATAATATAACATAATATAACATAATATAATATAATATAATATAATATAATATAATATAATATAATATAATATAATATAACATAACATAATATAACATAATATAGTGTAATATAATATAATATAATATAATATAATGTAATGTAATATAATATAATATAATTATTGTATAATAAATATAATACATATATTTATTATTAATAAATACTATAATTAATAATTTATAAATAATATTATATTACATAATAATGAATTTATAATTAATTCCATATAACATACACTATACAATATTACATTAATATCTATCACTACATTAACAGTAAAACCTGAGGCCCCTGCTCCCAAAGCTGTCCCAGGATCCAAGACACAACCCTACCTGCCAGGACGGTCAGGTTGAGGCTGACGTAGAGCCCCTCGTTGGTGCTGCCAATCCCACACCTGTAGGTGCCCGAGTCGCTGCTCCTGAGCCCTGTCATTGTCACCGTGAAGGTGCCGTTCTGGGGGACGTCCCCCAGGGCCACCCTGCCCCGGTAGTGGCTGGAGGTGAAGCTGCTGGAGGAGATGATGGTGTAGCACACCCCGTTCGCTGCTATTTTGCACCAATATTTCCGCTCGTATTTGTTGGCCGGGGTGGGGGAGTAGAAGCACTGGTGGGTGATGGAGCCTCCGAGGCCTCCTGCCAGAGCCCTGGAGCCGTACAGGCTGCTGGAAACGGGCTCTTTTGGGGCACAAACAGAAGGCTTTGGTTACTCACAGCCATCGCTCCTGCAAGGCAGGGCTGTGCTGCTGAGGGGGACACGGAGCTCAGGAAATCTATTTCGGATGTGGTGTTTCCCCTCCCCGAGTGCCCCCGGTGTCACAGAGCCACTGGCACAGACAGGGAGACCCTCAATGCCCCTTCCAGGACCCCCCCAGACCTGGAGTTAAAGCTCAAAGGCAGAAATTATTGGAAAAGCCTTTTGGCATTTGCCTGAGCTGGCAGCATCCTTCCCCCTGTGCAAGCTGTGCAAGGATTCTCCTCCCAGCTCTGGCCGCCTTTGCTGGCTCTCTGCAGGTTTGGACTGGGCAGGGGGTGCTCAGACTGGTTTCCAGTGCAGGTGGAGGTGTTTGGTGTCCCAGGGAGGTTCAGCCAGAAGAACATGGCCTGTGTGCCCAGTTCCAGCTGAGCCTGCTCTTCTCAGGGGCTGGTGTGTCCCTGACTCACCTTGCAGCAGAGCTGCCAGAAGGAGGAGAAGCACCATGTCCAGCCCTCCGGAGTGCTCCCTCGGCAATCCTCACCAATCTCACGATGGGGAGGGGGTTTTGCTGATTTCTGTGTTATCAAGCAAAACAGAGAGATTGTGGCAACCACTGGAATGCTCTGGGGGCTGCTCAGGGCAGGGCGCTGCCTCCCTGCTGGCTCCGAGTCTCTGACCTGTCCTAGGCCAGAAAAAGGGGAATTCTAAAAGGAAAAAAGATGTTAATGGTGCTCTGCAGATCTCACACTCCTGCTTTGAACTCTGTGCTCTGGGGATGGGGTAAAGGCATCGCTGGGAACGGGAAACAGCCAAAAATGGGTGAGGGACCTGCTGTGGTGCTGTGGCATCAAACCTTCCCTTCTCCATCCTCCCTTCTCCATCCTCCCTTCTCCCTTCTCCCTTCTCCCTTCTCCCTTCTCCATCCTCCCTTCTCCATACTCCCCTCTCCACCC